TGGTTAAAAGTGGCAAATGACGGTACACTGGGCGTTGGTGTTACATTAATGCCACCACGTACGCTATTCACCGGGATTAGTTCGCCATTTGCACCCACAACTATCAATGTATTCGGTGGATATTGCACATTATTTACACTGGGTGCAACCGGCCGAGAAGTTGTGGACAAAAAAGATGAAAATCTATTCGGATTAGACTGTACGGTATTTGGTGATGCCAATACGATTAGATTTTCCGTTGCCAAACCCTGTAAAGCTTGTAAATCTCCACTAAATATACGAAAACCACCACCGCCACCGCCACCTGGGAATAAAGAATTTAATTAAAATTACGCTGAAAATGCTGTGCGCGAAATGCTTACCGCCGCCATTAGCGCCACCGCCACCTATAAAAATTTAAATGGATTCAGTCAATAGTTTTTGGAAAGCATACCAATTGTTATTCACCTCCACCGCCTCCTCCAGCACCACCACCTCCGCCTCCACCACCATTAGTGCCATTAAAACCACCCCCACCGCCTCCTCCGCCACCACCACCACCGCCACCAACGGTATTCGTAAAGAAACCAGCACCTCCGCCTAAGAATGGCGGTGTAAACGGACATCCGCATATGCCAGGCGGTCCGGGGAGTCCTGGCGGTCCTGGAGGACCGCGTGCATGTGGATAATAGCCGCCATATGCTGGGTCTCCTGGTGGTCCGGGTGGACCCATAGGGCCTGGCGCACCAGGTTCACAAGCACACTTCATCAACGAGGCACTGGTGCCTGACCAAACGGTTGCTGTAGGTGAAAAAGACGATTAATTCATGGCTTCACTTCGCTTCACTTGAATAGGCACATTATTTTTCTTCAAGTATCTTGGCTCTTGTTTTTATGCTGTCTTTTATCAAACCAAACGAAAAATACATACATATGTTGACTGTTTTATTTTATTTTTTATTTTTTGTTTTTGGTTCACTTGAATAGGTGCGGTGACATTAACATAAGCAAAAGATTAGATTGGCCCAACATAGGTATACTATTCACTTTAATTGCATTATTTAATATTAGTTTTGGGTACTACCTACCTAATGCCAATCTATGGAAAAGAACCTATCCATGGGACTTTTCTAGAGTCTTTAAAAGTAATTCAAGAACATCTCGCTCTTTGCCAAAGAAAAAGAAAGTCTACCAAACATCAAATGATTGTTGTAAAGTTTGCAAGGCAACTTATTCCAAAAAAAATTTCATTTAAGTTGGATCTCAAGTATTCCAAAATACGAAATCGCGCTTAAGGCCGCCATACTCTATTCTTAAAGTGTAACTAAACAACGCTTCTTCTTTCTAAACTCGTCAAATAATTATGTTTAAGCTATTAAAACTAAAACTTTTCGCAAACACGCGGCACTTCCTATTCGTCCTTCCAAGACATGTTAGCGTATAAAATTCCAGTCGATCTTGTGTAATTTCCATATATCCATTGGTTCCATTTCATTTTTGTTTTTCATACTATGCTGAGCACCAGCTCCAGATAATTTTGTCCTTGATCCTTGGTTCAAAAACTTGCAAGTATAGATTTATTAACTTTGTTTTAAACACACAAGGATGATACCTTTAAGTGGCGCATTTTTGAAGCACACTTATTGTATTGTTTAATAAAAAGCCACATAATAAACAAAATATCCAAAGTAGCTCTTCGTTTTCACCAAATCTCTTATGAATCGACGATTCTTTAAAATTTAATTTAAATAAAGCTTCTATGATGCTTATAAGTTCGCGCGGTTTAAATATCTAAGTATGTATGTTTGTGCATAAATATGCGAGTAGCAAAGTTACTTACTGAAAATCGTCGCTATAAGACAAATCCATTTCATTTTGGCCGAATATGTCGTATTTTTACCAAATGACATCGCTGAATAATGTTAACACGCTCAATATCTAATTAACTATGAAGAGCGCTCTCGTAGCGGTCGCTATTTATATAGAAGCACATGTAGTTTCTGACTAACGGATTTCAAATGTTACTTCCTACTAATGGACTTGCATATCCGTTAGAATGCAGTAAAATCGTTATGAGCCAAAGAGCGACTGCATATGGAATTTTTAAGCTGCTTATATAAAACTTTTACCAAAGGCAAAAAATCAAAATTTTCATTTATAATCAAATCATTCTAGAATCATTGCTAAAAGCCGTTAAAATTTACACCTTCGCCCGCTATGTCGGCAAAGTATTTTCCTACGCTCACGGAAGAATTGTCAAAACATTTGATGATGTACATAAATTGATCTACACCGGTTATGTGCATTTTTGAACGTAGAAAGTGACAACAGCGAACTTAAATAAAGTCTTAATCGTTTGTTTATTTAAATTAGATCAATGTTCCCTTTATGTGGTTGAATAAGCGTGAACGTAAAAATAATATAAGAAAAATGTAAGAAGATCAGTGATCATAAACAAGAAACTGGTCAGAACTGTGAGTATGAAGTGGCGTGAACATTTTCACTCATCAACTAAATGCATTAGTAAAAGATTTTGTAGTGACTAAAGGTGTCCATTACTAATTGGCTATATGCATTCACGCACAGATATATATCTATAAGCATAGCAATCAACTCTTCTTTGTGGTAATATTGTCATTACTGAAGCCGTGAAAGATTCTTGATACTATCTTTCGTTAACGGAAATACTTGCTTTTGTTACATAGTTTCAAATTTAATGTGATGCGATCTTACGAGACCAAAAAATTTACAAATACATAATTCCGGTTTATCACACGCACTCGGTACAACTGAAATTGAGAGCAAATAAAATGCATACTACTATTAGAATAACAACAGTAAAATGAATAATAGAAACAGTGGAATTTTCCCGTACGTTTTGAATTTTACGCTTTTTAATTTAAAAAGTATTCTTCGTTAATGAATAACACACACTCTTTTACTTCAATTGGTCATTTTATTTATGTACATAGTGCATATGTATGAATTCAAACAATTAGTTCAATTAGTTTTAGTCCATGGCATCCAATCAAAACTAGATGTCAATTAGACATCATCTTAATTTCAAGAAAATCACCTTTATTCAGAGATGCATCAAAAATTTTTTTGGGGGGGTTCTGAAAAAAAATTTTAATCCCATTGATAACACACAAATGTATGTATGTGATCCCGGTATTTTGGAGGTCCCGAAAATGCCGGGATCTGCTTGCATTCATCCCGGGATTCCAAAAAATTTTAAGTATCGAATTGATTGTAAGAACTTGTTTATGAATTTTGAAGTATGATTTTTGTAAAATACCGTCTTGACTGCAATTAACAAAAAGCTTGAAACTATACTTCTAAATTGCAGCCTGAGCCTTTTTTTGAAAAGTTACATAATTTTTAAGAAAAAGTTACATAATTTTTTAAATTAATGTACACAAATTGAAAAAGTTATAATTTATACTTTGCTGTGTACGTAACATTTTAGTGCAATAATAACAACACCGGCAAGAAAAAAAGGTGTGTGGTTCTAACCAGACCCACCTAACTACATGTACATATTTCGACCCGGTGAATTTGAATCTGAGGTCCGTTTAACTCGTTCACCCTCGAAATTTCGAGTTAATTGCGAAAAAATGTCAAAAAACGCCATTTCTGTGAAGTAGAATAAACATGTTAATAGAATTTGTTTTTGTATATTTTTTTGTTTGTTTACTTTTTTTTTT